CGACGCCGCGCCGCCCGACGACGCGCCGCCGCCCTACTCGGCGTGCGCGCGCTCGGAGCTGGTGTTCGAGAACGGGCGCATCGTGGAGATAATGTCGGCCGAGGCCCGCGCCCGCGCCGCGCCGCACTACGGCCGCCTGCCGCCCGCCGCGCCCGCCGCGCACGCCATGATGCTGGTGTAGACGGACGGACTGACAGACTGACAATATTTTGTACCACACAGTGCGCGGAGTATACGCTCGACAGACACTAGACGGGTACATTCGATGGGGAACGAAATTACGTTTTAGTATGAAGTGAATTGAAATAATGCTCAAGGGTAAAGTTGGGTATCATTTTAAATTATCTACGTTACATTAGTTCGAGTAACTCGATATAGATGTCGGTGTGTTTACATATACTTAATACATCACGACAGTGTAGCCTGTCTGGAAGTATGCTCTAGATACTTATATTCTTCATGATATTGTCTTCTCCTAGTCATAGATCACATTCAAACTGCAGGCTCATGTAGCGAGTACCAGTACCGGCCTGCGGTATATTTGTAACTCTGTTTGATTGCCCGACAGAGGCTAGCTCTCCCCTCCCCTAGCTGTATCATAAGTGTATGTTAAAGCCGATATTGTGTTAAGTGCCTTGAGATTTGCACCAATCATGAGTAGTACAAGGTCGGGTAGTGTCGCGGGTATGCGACAGTGGCGCCGCCGCGCGCCTGTAGTTGTCCACTATCACTGCCTCACTTGTATCTCCTACATAAATATGTATTTACAATAAACTCCTTCAACTTGTGCAATTGTTTTATTGCGTCGTCGGTCGAACCGTTACGTAATGAAACTGCAATATGACATGTAATTCAAGTGCTTTATTATAATGTATGTACTATGTACTAAACTACTTACATCTAAACGTTTAATAAATAACCAACCTAGCGTACAATTAACAATATCCTAGGAGAACCATGCTTCCTTAAACTTGCTACTTGAACTGCGGAAGTTGACATGTAGACACACGATGCGAGCGATGCTCCGCCCGCACATGGAGTAGAAGAAAGCATGGTTGTGTGTGTGTGTGTGATACAATACATAGAAACTATACTATCGCTATATAAATGCAGTTTGAGCTTCTTACATTCCCTACAATACTAAGATCCTGTATTAAGAGTTACATCGAGTATTGCTACAGGAAGACCTTATGTCCAGCAACATATTACAAGTAAATGCAATGCACACGTCACTCGACTCGTGTGCGTGTGTGTGTCCTGTCTTACTTACTAAGTACATTACAGAGTGTGTAGTGCGAATTATTTCATCTATTAGCTTTAACTACAATGTGTATGAAATCAGCAAAGGACGGTAACTACGCTGTTACCGCACCATATAGAGAGAATGCTAGTTTATTTTACGTTAACGCGATCGACACGTTACCGCGTTTAGCCCTCTGATTGGTTGGACTTTTTGAGCCGGCCAATCAGAGCGCTGAACGTCTTAAACGTGTCGATAGCATTAATAAGAAACAAACTCGCACTCGGAACGTGAAACAGACAACGTTAACGCGATCGAGTCGGTGAACAACTCGCACTAAGCACTCAGTTTATAGTCTAAGTTGATAGAGATCTCTCCCGCCGTCATCTATAATATTTTGGTACGAACATACCTACTAAGGCCCTTATTTTTACAAATATTACAATTATTTAGATCCAGTCTTAATGTCACAACGATCAGTAATTCAGTAGCGGTAGCACCAGTATTACGTACATACATAAATATATGCAGCTCTGTTTTGACATGGGTCGTCTCTGCGCGGAAACATATGTGTGGCATATAATAGAATAGATTTGAAATCGCTCAGTGTTTTCTACTTCTCGGAACATCAGAGGGACAGTAGTGTGTGATTAGTGATTGCCGGAGCATGAGTTAAAGTAACTAGTTGACGTGTGGATACAGCGAGAAGTACAGTGCGTGTGTTTGTCCAGTGGCTCCGACGGCGCGTGAGTTGCTCAGAGCTCGCTGTTCTGGCGGCGGCGCACGTATCTGGCGAAGTAGTCCGGCCGCCAACACTTGCACGAGCCGGGGACCAGGAACCAGTCGTAGTACAGCCGCACCTGTCACACACCATACAAACGTATTTTATTATAGACAGGAATATTATGTCAGTGAAAAACTAATTATTCTAATCATTGTATTGAAAGAGTCATTACAATCACACAAACATTCAAACAGCAGCGGTGGCAAGCGATCCGGATAGAGATTATACTTATCTCTACGTAAGTGTGTGAGTATGTAGATGTACCTGATAACATCCCATGTCGTCGTGTCCGTCGCAGTGCTGCGGCTTGTCGGTCGCGTCCGCCTCCGTGCCGCGCGAGTACTGCCCGTACTGCTCGTACTCCTGCACACAACGAAATCTTACTCAATCTCTGATCCCGCAGTGTAGTGAATCCTTAGAGTAAATCAGAAAATATCATCGAAGTAGAAAATAAAGCAAATGTTTCTACTTTCCTTGGTTTTTCAAGAGGACAACATGGCAGAAACACTGCCCCAAGGGATGTACCGTAACAGATGTTACCAGAATATTCGATACTCCTTACAGGGGTTACTAGGGACCACTCGAGTGGTTCTAGTGCTGACTTCTCCAGAAAATAAAAAAAGTAGGTAGTAGGTAGTACCTGCTGCTTGTTCTGCGCGGGTGGATAGTGCAGCTCGGCCACGAGTAGTGACACCCAGCGCGGTGAGCTCAGGCAGCCGCCATCCAGGTAGTGGCAGCGAGACTGCATGCATCTGTACAGTACGGCCAGCATTAGGTAGGCGGCGACGGTAGGCTAAGTTGTACATACGTACAACTTACATGTATAGAATGAAACGCCCACTTTTTACAAGTAAATTATATGCCAACGCACTAAGCAACCAATCCTGTGTATTGAACTATATTGGTGCACTTATGAATCAAGGTAGCTTATAAATGTGCCATACAAGAGGTGGTCTGTATACCTGGTGACCTCGACAGTTTGCGTGAAGTATCCCTCGTACGGTATCTGCACCACGTAGCGCCACACGCCCTGGTAGTTCCGCGCGAATACTGGCGTCGCGTACTCCACGCGAGCTGGGCAAGGTGTCGGGGGACCCTGTGACATAAAAGCACCAAAATTAGAGCGTGAGTTTGGGTTACTTATGATACCTATACTGAATTTACTTTATTCATATTACGATACGATCAAATCTGTGGTTACGATGAACGAGATTTATAAAAATAAATATAGCAATAATTAATTAATTGTATACTCTGCTGCTTACCTCGTATCTATGGTGTGGTCCGTGAGGTGCTCCAGCGCCGTGAGCTTGTGGTCCGGGATCTTCACGACGCTCGACGCCTGCACTGGAATCGCTATCGCCATTGATCGCTCGGTATAGCATACAGAACCTAGGAAATTAAGAATATGTTAAGTTTATTTTAATTTTATATATTTTATGTTAAATATAATATGCTTTTATATTATAAAATTACTGAATAACTTCATAATAAATCTCCAACTGCTACAAGTGTAACGAAACGGACTTTGCGTTGACGTAATATTTTAATTCACTGGTTGACAACTTGACAGTTGACGTTTAACCATCTGGCACGTTGACTTGACGTTTCCTAGTTATTTATTTTGTAGGTTAGAATTGTATTTTCGTGTAAATTGCCCCTAAATGTTTTCTCTACGCATTGTTGTACTAAAATGTCTTCTGCATTAGTGCGACAGGCTCTGGAACTCGTCGACCAAGAAGGTGAATATAAAGCAAATGGGCAGAACATTCAATTTTGCTAGAAATGTGTTTGAATTGATTACGAAGTTGTTGTTTGGTTGTTGTAGACAGCGGCGAGGCGAAGCGCGGTTCTCGTAAAACGCGGCCGCGACACGGGGGTCAAGGTTGGTAGAAACGTTGGAATTACTCTTGATATTCGTATCGCCATTACGTCACAGCACTTGTCGACGCTCACGTCTTTATTGCGCTTATTGCTGCGATTAGACACGCCGTTTTTATTGTCATTTTATTACTTACATCGTTTCGCTCTTACATAATTTAGCGAGCGCGACATAATTGTTTGGACCTCAGCTGTGTGGGTGAGTGACACAGGTTGTGTTGCAGATCACAGGAACTTGTACAAGAGTAAGAGTAAGAAGCCGCGGGAGCCGGTCAAGTCCAAGGAGCAGTTGTCCGCGGAAAACATCGACAAGCTGCTGAAACTGTCGACGCGCGCCGCTGACACTAGCCTGGCCGACAAGGTATGTGTACACTGAACAGGCAGGAACTGACATCCTAATACCAATTTGCATGTGATATTTATTATTCAGAGTGCCGGAACATTGCATAGTATTTGCTAGAACATTCTCTAACAACAATCCAAGCATCAAGTGCTGTGCAAGTAGAAGTAGCATGTAGTAGGGATGGCAATTGTCACTGAAAAAGATTGATTTTTAAATCGTAGAATATCTGAGATCGATTCACAAGATCAATTCAATGCAAAGGATTGATTAAAAAGATCGATTTTTTTTGCTCCAAAAGATTGATTCTTTGATTAATCGATTTCAGATCGCCATCCCTACCATGTAGGTTGTAGTATGTATACAAACAGTCACATAGTGTCAGTCTGTACAGACCACTCTGTGCTCGCCGGTGATGCATCACTATTGATTAGATAGTAACGCACTGATAGTCTCTGTGTACACGTGTGGGAAGTACTAAGCCAACAAGTAGTGACTGTGTGTGGGTGTTGTTAGTGTCCTATGTATCAGAATGTTCCTATTATTAGTTCCTTGTACCAACGGCCTGCTGGAGGACAACAACCTCTACTGTATTATTATACTTGTTTAGTAACATTTTAATGACCGGTTTATATTCAACAAAGTCTAATATTAGTGTACTATGAATATTAAACTGTCAAACACCGCGCAGTCACCGGTGACCGCAACCTATTGTTCTTTAATTGTGTCTATAATGACGGTACTCGACGAGTTAAAATATAGTTATTTAATAGAAAGGAAATAATTGACTAGAGTGGTTGGCACCAAAGCAATGTGTAGCACAGAGTATAATGATGTAACATAAAGCTGTGCTTCCACTGACTGAGTGTGACATTGGGGATGTTTACGATTTGTACTGTTTGCACTATACTGTAGATAACTTAATATTTGTTCATTAATTTATTGTCTTGTTTATCTTTCACAATTTGTCGAGTCATCTCCCTCTGTCTCCCTAATGGCACATGTTATTGTCAACTTGTAAGTACATGAATGTTACACTAGTTTTTTCTGATATAATTTTTTCCTCATAATGATTCAGAAGTTCTAATGAATAAACTGAAATATATCATTAAACAAATGGCACTAACAAAATTAAAATACGAGAAGGTAATGTTTAAGAAGTCATTAAAAAAGTATTATTTTGTAATGGATAAATTAAATTATTTTTCCAACAACCTGTTTATATTGGCGAAGTAAGTTAGTTGAAGTTAGTTCTTTATCATTGTCTATGTAATGCCCGTGCACAAATACAATGTACTTACTAATGAGTAGGATACATGTGGGAGGGCGCTGTTGTGTCTCTGTTTACATAGTCCCTGTAGCATTTTTTGTATTTAAAAATAACAAAAGTACATATAAAGTCGTGAAAATCTATCTAAAGTGGCAAACTGACACCGCATCCACTGGATAAATGTTATTAATCGCGAAAACTCCCTATCTGCGAAGTTAATATCAAGAAAACCACCAACAACTACTTTCATCGCAAAAAGACCGAATAAGAAGAATTCAAGAGGAAAACCGATAAGACGGAAGAAGGTTAGTCTTTTAAAATTCAAGAGATCAAGAAGTGCAAAAAACTAGTGTTAAAAAGAACATTCTGATAAATTATAACCTTACTTTAATTACAACAAAAAATAAAAGTCACGGTCTTCAAGAACTCGGTAACAACGCCATCTAGCGTCGAGCAGTTAAACTACTAACTAATCAACATTAGAAGAACTCCTGCGCTAACTACAGTAGTACAAGACTTACAAACGTGATACATAGAAACTTCAGACAAAATCTAATAGAGGGCGACAAGTGTACTATAAATATTACAACTACAAAACAAAAAACATGGAAGAAATATTAACTGCTTTAAAAACAATTCAAAATGATTTGGACAATCAAAGACAAGAAATCCGGGAAACAGGAAAGACTGTTACAGAACAAGTCACGAAAAATATTAGCATGATGTTTGAAGAAAAATTTTCAGCAATAAATAAAAATCTAGAAGACGTGAAAGAGAAAATGGAAATCCAAGAAAAAGGATTACAAAATCTAGAGAGACAGGCAAGAAAAAATAATCTAGTATTTTTTGGCTTAGAAGAGAGTGAAAAATCATACGAAAATTTGGAGAGAAACTTCATTACCTGGGTAGAACAATATCTTTCTGTAAAAATAAACAATTGCGATATTCAAGAAATAAAAAGAATTGGAAAAAAAGGGGAAAAGCCACGCCCTCTGGTAGTGACCTTCCTAACTCTAGGCACAAAAATAAAAATCCTGAAACAAAAAAGAGCACTAATAGATACCACCTACTACTTTAAAGAAGATTACCCAAAGCAGGTACTGGAGAAGAGAAAGAAACTCCAGGCACAATTACAACTAGAGAGAGAAAAAGGCAACATGGCTAAAATTTCATACGACAAACTAATAATATCAAAAGTCAACCCTAAACGAAAATTACCCATTTCACCTGAAAACGCCATGCCAACCAACACTGAAAAAATACAAATAAACAAAAAGAACAAAATACAGCAAGGCGATCAGTCTGTCAAGAGATCTAGCAGCTTTTCAGAAGGGATAATAAAACAAGGAATACTGAACTACGTGGTCAAAAATTCAACAAGCAAAAAAAATAACGACAACAAGCAAATATAGCAACTAGGCGCCTCCTCCTCCTCATCTTCACATACACAACGAACAGGCACACAAACGGATTCAAGAAACGCACCAAATCTTCCAAGCCGGCTGGTCACCGTGGAAGATTACGACCAAAACCCTCCAAAAACAACAAACAAACGAAACAAACAAGAAAATCAACTAATGTACGTAGCAACCTACAATGTCAAAACCCTATACACATATGAACGGTTATCAGAACTGGAAGAGGCAATACACAGTATAAAATACGACGTTATAGGATTATGTGAAACGAGACGGCAAGGTACCAAGATAGAAGAGCACGAAAACTTTATATTTTGTCACGTCGGTTACACTCCTGGCCTCTACGGAGTTGGCTTTATAATAAATAAAATACACAAAAATAATATAGAGAGCTTTATCGGTCTGTCGGAACGAGTTGCATCATTAAACATGAACATCCAAGGCTACCTAATCTCTATCATCCAAGTATATGCACCAACGAAAGAAGCAAGTGAAGGTGAAATTGAAGAATTTTATAGATCTATAGACACAGCCCTAGATGCTGCGCATAAAAATATCATTATAATGGGAGATTTCAACGCGAAGGTCGGATTTCCAAAGAAAGAGGAATATTTAGTGACAAAAAGATTCGGATACGGAACAAGGAACGAAAGAGGCCAGAGGCTAGTGGATTTCGCTTTGGAGCATAAACTAAAAATAATGAATACATGTTTTAACAAGAAGCCAAGCAAAAGATGGACGTGGAAATCTCCAGACAGAAAAACTCGAAACGAGATAGACTATATATTATCAAACCTACCAAATGTTTTCCAAGACATTGGTACGTTAAATCTGAACTATAATTCAGACCATAGAATGATAAGAGCAAAAATTAATATAGGTATCAATAATAAATGTAGAGTAAAATACATAAACCAAGTAAATAACCAATTAAAATATGATGAAGAAATTTCCTCGTATAGGGAAACACTATCGAAACATATAGCTCTCCACAAAGATTGCCACAAATCCGGCTCTGTACAAACACACTATGACTTCATTACAAACGCAATTACCATAAGTCTAAGGTCAGTGCAAGCAACAAGAAAAGAACACAAACGACACAAATGGCTGTCGGAACGAACAGCATCTCTTTTAAAACGGAGAAAAACATTACAAAAAACTAAAAATAAATCACGAGCAATGAAGAATGAACTCTCTGCGCTTTACAAACTGGTGAATAAATATATAAGAAATGATTACGCAAAGTACAGACAGCAGATCATAGAAAAACATCTCAACCTAACCGGAAGCACAAAGAGAGCCTTCAAAGAACTCCGTACAAGTAAGACCTGGATAGAAGGATTAAAAGACTCTGGAAAAGACCTCAACAACAGGAAAGACATCATCACCGCAGCAACTGACTTTTACAAGAGCTTATACAGATCTAAAAAGGAAACCACCCCAGCTCAAAACAGTACATTAAGCTCAGCCGAAAGTTTTCTCGAGCAGTCTAGCACAGATATAAATAACGAACAGAACATCGAAAGAGTCACTGAAACAGATATTATAGAAGGAATAAAAAGACTAAAATCTGAAAAATCACCCGGTTCAGACTACATAACAAATGAAGCTTTAAAGTACGCCTATCACATCCTAGCTACTCCGCTGACCGAACTATTCAATTTAATAATTCAAACTCTGGAAACGCCTACACAGTGGTCTGAATCAAATATTATTTTAATATATAAAAAAGGAGACCCAAAAGATATAGGTAACTATAGACCCATTAGTCTACTTCCATCACTGTACAAGCTTTTTTCGTCCATCATAAACTCAAGAATCAGCCCCATAATTGAAGAAAAACAACCTGTAGAGCAGGCCGGTTTCAGAAAGGGTTTTTCTACGGTGGATCATATTCACACACTAGAGCTAATTGTAGAGAAGTATCGGGAACAACAAAGACCACTATACCTCGGCTTTATTGACTATCAGAAGGCATTTGATACAGTATCCCACGACAGTGTTTGGCATAGTTTGAAAGAACAAGGAGTAAGCGAAGGATATATAAATATAATAAAAAACATATACATTAACAATATAGGCAGAATAAAGTTAGATACACTTGGCCCGAGCTTTCCCATAATGAGAGGTGTGAGACAGGGCGACCCTCTATCACCATTAATATTTATAGCTGTACTCGAAAGCATTATCGACAATCTAGAATGGAGTAAACGCGGTATCCTCATAGATAAAGTTTTTCTAAGTCACCTACGGTTCGCAGATGATATAGTAATACTGTCGGAGACTAGCTCACAACTGCAGATCATGATTAAAGCCTTACAATCGGCTAGCACCAAAGTCGGGCTAGAAATTAATTTGTCTAAGACCATGGTACTAACAAACAGCTACAAAAAACAAATTAAAATTAATGGAAACCCATTAGAATACAGAGATAAATACATTTACCTTGGGAAAACCATCAGCTTTGGGACAGAAAACAACGAACTAGAGATCGACAGAAGGATACAGCAAACATGGCGCAAATACTGGAGTTTGAGAGAAATATTCAAAAGTAATATGCCCATACCTCTGAAAACTAAGACTATGAACTCGACTCTACTACCTTGCCTAACATATGGGTGTCAGACATGGAAATTTACCTCAAAAGCTAGACAAAAAATCGTCACCTGTCAGCGGGGAATGGAGAGAAGCATGCTCAGAGTGAAGAAAATAGAAAAAATCAGGCACACTAGAATAAGAGCTACAACAAAAGCTATTGATGCTTTAAGCTTCGCTTTAAAAGCAAAATGGAGGTGGGCCGGCCACGTAGCGAGGCTCACTGATAATAGATGGACCTACATATCCACAATATGGAGAGGCCCGCTAGGCAAGAGAAGGAGAGGTAGACCCACTACACGCTGGGTCGATGAAATAAAAGAAATCGCAGGCCCAGACTGGTGGCAAATAGCACAGGACAGAGATAGGTGGACAAATTTGGAGGAGGCCTTTACCCAATCTGGGGACCTTAATAAATAGTCAAACAGTAGTAATAACCACTCTATTATCCAGTTATAAATAATGTTAAGTTAAAAAAAAAAAAACTAAGTAAAGAGTAGTTTTTGTAAACACAAACATTATATTAGCATCTAGTTATAAGAAACTAAAAGTAAGTAAGATTTGAACTAGTAGCTATTAGTATAAACATTTCGCTACCTAGATATAAGGAACATTAAATATTTAATAACATAGAATGTAAGAAAAACAATTCTTGTAATCAAGGTCAAATAAAGGCTTTTTTATTTTTTTATTTTTTTATTTTTATTTATTTATTTATTATTACTAATGAGTAGAGTTAATGTCGTCGGCATTGTCTGCCGTAGACATATTTAAAAGACTGTGTGCGAGTAATAATACTTGTCTACAACTTATTAACTGATCTCAATAAGATGGTTGTAGCAGGGGCCCGGCCAGGTTGTGTAATCCAGTGATCGTGTCTCACAGATCGTAGCGCGCGCCCTCCGCCGCAAGCCGCTCGCAGACGACGTAGAAGTCAAACAAGACGAACACAAGTCCATACTCTTCCCTGAAGGAGAGACCTTCGAGGACTTCGAGAAAGAACTATTCTGCAGCTAAACGTAACATAATCAAGAAACTAATCAAGCAGACCAATCTATGCTGTATTGATCATTGCGTAAGATTGAAATTCGTATGTTAAAGTGATGCGTATATATGGACATACCTGATGCGGTGATTGGCAAGCTGGTCCTGGTGACAACCAGTGCTGTGTTTGTAGTTCTGTGTCTGTGGGTCAACTCGTACCCATTCATCGACGAAGGTGAGTCTAACTCTAGTCGGTACTTGCACCCGCGAGTGCAGCGTGTAATGAGTACTGAGTGAGTGGCCATGTTCCAGAGTCGTGGGTGTACGGCGCGGTGCCGGACCCGGCGTGGGCGCTCGCGTCGTGCGGCGCGTGCGGCGCGGTGCTGGTCGGCGGACTCATGTTGTTCACGCTGTACCATCTACACACACAGCTCTAGCGCACACACACACAGCTCTAGTGCACGCACACACCGCTCTAGCGCACACACACACACAGCTCTAGTGCACGCACACACCGCTCTAGCGCACACACACACACAGCTCTAGCGCACACACACACAGCTCTAGTGCACGCACACACCGCTCTAGCGCACACACACACACAGCTCTAGCGCACACACACACAGCTCTAGTGCACGCACACACCGCTCTAGCGCACACACACACGGCTCCAGCCGACATCCTCGCAACATGGCGCTCCACCGCAACAACTGGGTCGTCATAGGTATGATCTTTATGTTTGTCACTATCTAACTGAATGATGGAGTTGATAGATTTCAATTGTCCATAGCCCTTTAGCCTGCACGGTAGCCTGTATGTGACTTCAAAATCGACCCTGCAGGTTACAGCAGTACCTACATGCGAGCGATGTATTCAGGGTGAATTGTAAAGCGAACGAGACGAAGGTGATAAATATACAAATTTACTACAAAATTAGCCCTGAGTCCGAAAGTGGCTACTATAATTCTTAGATATTCAACATTTTTAATTTCGGTCAAAAAAATCCCGACCTAACTTCAAAGACATTAATAAATAAAAAACTACTTATTTGATTTAAGTGATTTTAGTTTTATCTTCTTGTCAATACATCAATAAACATTTATCAATACTAATACTGGCAGAAATATCATTCGATTTGAAACAGCGAGTAGTACCAAATTTTGTTTTGAGGCACTGATTTGGTCAATAGAAAGCTTGATGTATTTTAAATAATTGATATAACATTAAGCGTACAAACTATTTAAAAAACTTCCTCCATTTATTAGGTAACCAAAAATGAAATTAATTATAAATATGTATTCAAAATAAATTAATAACTTGATTTGATTTTGAAAACATCATTATTAACTCAATATTGTCTAAAGTGACCTTCCCTATGATGAATACATACTCGAACACGCTTCCTTATCTTTGTAACTGTCACTCTTGAACTGAATGAGCGCCTTCTTCTTCACCCGCTTCAATTACTTTTCCGCGAAGGATTTCGATAGACGGAATTAGAGTTGCATAAACAAGGCACTCCATTTGTCCCCACACGTTAAAATCAACCGGTGATAGGTCTGGACACGATGCAAGCCATGGAATTACACCCCCTGCCAAGTCAACACCTTAGGAACGAGGTATCCAGCCATATAATTCGATAGTGCATCGTGTTGGAATATCATTCGTCTCCTTGTTTCTAAATCCAAGTATTCAAGCAATGACCCTCGCTCATTCCTTAAACATTCTTCATAATGATCACCATTTCAATTATTGGACCAATCAAGTAATTATTAATGACACTCGTACAAACATTTAAATGTATACCCTCTTCGTGAACCTGTTGGTTTGCCTTTTCTTGGATTTTATTGATTTTTTGGGACCAATAATGGATATTGTGATAGTTTGTAATACTATCCTGGTCGAATTGCTTTCATCCATCCATACTTCGGCTAAGAAAGCTTGGATCTTACACGATTTATAATTGAAGCGGCTGAAGAAATAAGACGCTCATTCAGTTCAAGAATGACTGTTACAGAGATAAGGAAGCGTGTGCGGGCTTGTAATGATCATAGGGAAGATCACTTTAAACAAAATTGAGTAAATAATATTATGTTTTGAAATTGCCCGTTTTCCTTTACGCTTTACTTACCATTAAGTAATTAATTGGTTTTTGCGAATTGTATAAATAATTAAATGTTTTTGGGTACCTAATAAACCAAAGAAGTTTTTCCAATCGTTTGTTCGCTTAGTGTAATTTTTTTTAATAAATCTAATTTTCTATTCCACATTAGTGATTCAAAACAAAATTTAAAACGAAAGATATTTCTGCCAATATTAGTATTAATAAATGTTTAGGGAGTGCCTTCGCTGCCGGCGCCGGTTGCCAAAAATATCACTATTGGAAACCGGCGCCGGCACTCAAAATGGCAGCCGGTGACAATGCGCAAAAGGCTGGGTTCCAGTGCCGGTAAACAAATATAAAAAAAAAACATAAGCTCAAAGATTCCAATTTGTTCTTTAGTTTGTGCTGTTTGTTGTATTTATTCTGTTTGTCTTACGTTTATCGTTACGGTTTGGAAAAATGAAAGTCGGTGACGAATATAGGTTAGGTTAGGTTTTTTTTTGTTTTATACAGCAGGAGGGGAAATCCTCATGGAAACTCACACCTCCCCACGAATAGAGAGGTTCGGCTGGCCACCGAAGGGCCGGATACCGAATAGACTACCGGCGCCGGCAGCTAGTCCGGCAACCGGCGCCGGCAGCTAGTCCGGCAACCGGCGCCGGCAGCTAGTCCGGCAACCGGCGCCGGCAGCCAGTCCGGCAACCGGCGCCGGCAGCGGAGGCACTCCCAAATGTTTATTGATGTAGTACTTAACACTAAACACTAGTGAAATTAAAACTAACATCACTTAAATAGAACCAGTAGTTTTTTTTGTTTTTGTTTATTGACGTTTTTGTAGTTAGCTCTGCATTGTTGACCAAAACCAAAAACGAACGACCAAAACCCAAATGTTGAATATGTCAGAAACTAACCACTTTCGGACCAGGGACGCTGTGCTAATTTTGTAGGAAATTAGTTGTATTATCACCTCCCGAGAGGAATCCGTCGCGTCGCAAGTAGTATACATAGTACAGCGGGTGGGTGGCGCAGGTATCGGCGGCGTGACGTGCGGCGGCAAGACGTCGCTGGCGGCGCGGCTGCGGGCGGCCGCGCGGCCGCTGGCCGTGCTGCACCAGGACGCGTACTTCCTGCCCGACGACTCGCCGCGACACACCTACATCCCCGAGCTCAAACACAACAACTACGACATCCTCTCCGCGCTCGACATGGAACGGATGATGGACGACATCCACGCCATAATGCGCGGGGAACTCAAGGTGGACCCCTCGCGGGTCCCCAACGAGGCCCCCGACACTCTGGGCCCCCTGCCCAGCGCCCCGCCCGCCGAGCCCTTCACTCTGCCGGGCAAACAGTTCCTCGTGCTGGAGGGCCTCACAGTACTGAACTACCCCCCCATCATGGAGCTCTGCGACCTGCGTTACTACTTCGTGTTGGAGTACGAGGAGTGTCTCCGCCGGCGCCTGTACCGACTGTACGACCCGCCCGACGTGCCCGGCTACTTCGAGCTCTGCGTCTGGCCCGAGCATGTCAAGTATAGAGCCGAGGTTCGTGCCGACTTTGTCTAATACAACTAGATCTGAGTTTACACAGTACATACATACGTATTACTATCATATGTTTGTAATTGCAGATAGAGAAGGACGTCCGCGTGAAGTTGCTGGACGGCACGTACGCCAGTGTACACGAGACCGTCATGGAAGACATTCGACATCTCGCCACGTAGCATACTGCACGATATCGATAGTCGCTTAGAATTATAAGGAGTAAGCAAACATATTTATAAACAATATTAACTGATTACGAGTCTACCTCATGGTCTCAGATCAATGAAGACTACAATATCTATATGTACAATGCGTTGCAGACGAAGCAAATATGAAACGTATCGCTCCAGCACAAGGTGTAGAATTAATCACCCGGGCACTGCTATGTAGCTTGCATGTAACCAGTAAAGTGAATGAGATGTCATAATGTTAATGTATTTTTATACACAATTTACACAATACACCGTAAGTCGCCTTACACAGCTCGTGCACACCGACCAATCACACGTTACTTTAGGTGAGAGAACGCTATATCAGACACATGCTTCTGAGCAAGACAACTATAATGATGCGAAGCGTTACCGTCAAGTAATCGGTCTATTATGATGTATATTTTATTCAAAGTTGTATTAAATAATATGATATTAGGGCGTATTCACACGAGCTGCAGAGAAATCATGTTAGTGGACAAGTACCCATAGCGTGTGAATACGCCTTATTTAGTGGATGTTGTGAAATCTCGCGCAGTGATGGAGTGTACTATAAGTATTGTTAATTTATTCAGTTTCAATAAATTTTGATCATGTCGTCTGTGTTTCATTTGATGGATGGAATGTTTGCATTACAGGTTTAAGTTGATTGTTAATTGGCAAGAAACCGCGACGGATGCAGCGGAGTCACGTATTCTATAGGTATCAGTCGTCAGAATAAGTTAGAATGGAAAATGCATAACAAACAAAAAAAAAATACAGTCGAATTGAGAACTCTTCCTTTTTTTTGAAGTCGGTTGATAAAAACGCAATATTATACATTCACGCGGGAGAGCCAGCTTCGGCACTGCTGGGTCGGCTCGACCGGAGTGATAAACGACTACACAGAAAGCCGGAGGCACAATCTTCCCCATCCCGCAGTTTCCAGAAGGCCAGCAACGCACTTGTAACAACTCCTCTAGCTGGTATTAGAGGAATCGCCGATCAGTTGGTGGGTCTGGTCGTATGTCATACAAGAGTAGTGATTGTATAGAGTACTCACACCCCGCCATTGTCGCAGAACTTGCGACTCTCCCGCGGCGCGTCCGCGTCGGCGGCGCGGTGCTCGGCCGCGTCCGCGGGCGGCAGCGACCGCTTACTGCGCTCCTCCAACCTGTAGCGACAAATTGCTTACTTTGTATTGTCATACGGAGATAGTCCTGTATAATATTCTTTGTAGCTCTATACTCGACTAGCTACTTCCGCGCGGTTTCAACCACCGCTCGGTGCCTATTGACAGTAGCGAGATGTTGTATATAGCCTCTGCCTTCCTCAATAAATGGGCTATCCAATACAAAAGTAATTTATCAAATCGGATCAGTAGTTCCTGACAAACAAACAAACTTTCTAACTTTATACTATGATAGTATAAGATAAGATTATATATGCTACTGTAACAAGACTTGCAACGTGATGCCGAAGGTCAACACGAAAATGTGCTGAGCATTAATCATTGTATTAATTTGGATTAGTTAATGACAATGTAACTAAATAACGCTACGAACGCCTTTGTATGTACGTTTGTGTCCGTAGATAGCGTTGATCCGTCTGCTTGTTTATCTCCGATTGTACAGTTAACATGTAGTATCACGAATATTTACCGGTTGTGCTGTAGGTCAGGCACGGCGTGAGCTTCAGGCGCGTGTGTAGGGGCGGGGTAACTGGAGCCTGCGGGGTAGCTGGGGCCCGCGGGGTAGCCGGGGCTGCCGGGGCCCGCGGGGCTGCCGGGGGCGGGGCCCGGGCCGGCGGGGCTGCTGGGCAGGTGGGCCACGCGGGGCAGCGTGTCGTCCGCGCGCAGTACTGGCAGAGTGCGCGACAGGAAGCGAAGCGTGTGATTGCGGAGCAGCTCACTGGAGACGACAGATACTAACTTAGCACACGATTACCTCGACATAACAATGGTCCTAAAACTGAAACCAGTCCCCGAGGGAAGAGCAGTAACATCTCCAATCCATTTTATGGCAAACCCAAATATCTATCAGAAAGAAGAGTGTTTCCAAAAATATTTAAATTGGGTGACTTCAAGTCTCCACATCATCCTCACACCCCACGGCGAGTTGTGAACAAACACCGTTCTATAAAATATCTGTTATAAACTATAACTCACAAAGGGTAGGGCTCCCCGTTAGGGTTCTGCCCCATGGGGTTCCTGGGAATGAGGCCGCGGTTTAGGTCCCCGCACAGGTTGTTGGCAGACACGTGCGGTTTGTTCGACTCCACCTCCGGACACGATGACGTCACCTGCCGGTACGGAGGGGGGCGCACTCTGGAAACAATACATGTTCATTATATTAACACCCCTTTACCGTTACGTACGTAAGTACTTATGTTTATACTTACTACTTCATTTATTGTACCTATTGGGACCTGCTCTGCTATGTATGTATTCGGTGAGACTAGTTAGTACCAACAGCAGCTTTCATCGGCCTACACAGCACACTGCGGTGCATCGCCTACTTTATTGATGAGTCATGGAGATTGCATTCAGGACAGGCCGACCGCGCCTTGTTATAATATCCCACAAGTTGTTATAATATTCATATTTCATACATAAAGTGTGATATTATCATTATTATCCCTCGGATGTTCTATACTTGTCCAAGTGGACAGTCAAGTGGTACATACCGTGGCGGTGTGGCGTTAGGTGACTCGACGAACGCGTAGTATCCCTCCGGCGGCTCCTCCGAGTCGGCGAGCGCATCGTCCCGCTCGCGGGGCTCCGCCGCCTCCGTCGGGGGCTGCGTCGGCTCCGGCAGCACTAGCCGGGAACTGAGGCACAGCAACTGTGGAGCGAAGACACCGTCGTGGTAATACTACACTGTGATACTACATATAGGTGAAGTCTGCGAGCAGAAGTTGCAATAGACATCTCGCTCGAAGGATCGGTTGCATTAAGTGCTGACTTAATGAAGTACCTACTTATAAGTGCCACATCGCCTACTGAAGACTGCGTTTTTCTTGACACATAATTCTGTGTAATTGACGATTGATGATAAAACGTAATGTGCCGTATATGCGCGCAGGTGTCGTGGGAAACTGCGCGCAGTGAACACTATCGTAATTGATGCGCGCGCGTCACGCCACGCGCCGCGCGCCGCGCGCTAACGGGGCCGCGACTGCCATCCGTGACGTACGCGCGTATGTCAGGCCATTCCTAGTTCCCACCGCTGACACTAGCACACTAATATTGTAATTTAGAAAAAGCGTATAACAATGAAAGCAAGAAGTAACGTATGGACAAATTAGGCGGTCGGCAGCCGTGACATCAGCGCGTCACTCACGCGTCAACCTATCGTTGTATTGTTCCAAGTGTGTCGACACTGTCCTAGTGGGTCACTGTGCCAGCGTGTAGGTACTGCTACTAACGCTTTGTGAGATAATGTAAACACATCAGTACAAGCACTACTGGTAAGGGAATAGAAACGAACCTGATTATTGATTGAGGTTACGATTACGTCGAGGAGATAGCCTAGGTGTACCTAGTGAGTAGTGTACTATACCTATAACACCGTTATTGCAAGGCATGGCCGCATAGAGAAATGCTCTATTGAAACATTCATTGCAACGTACCGCGAGGCAGTGTTGTTACAACTCTAGGTACAGGCCGTACAGGACGCCTCGCAAGTGCTGCACATACTTACTACGACTCAGACGAGCTCAATTCATCAAGATGTATGTATTGTATGTATTATTGATTGTATTCCGTACATCGCTATGTTATGACTAGGTACCACTGTCTGAGAGTCAATGTCGCCTTATTTATTTCAAAAACCTTCAATCTGTTTGTTTACTTTTTATGGGATAAGTCGGTAAACGCCTATGGATACACGGAACAGCAGAGGTGTGAAAAGCGCAAAACATATTATTGTAGTCTCTGCGTAGTGTTCTACTATCATCCACCAGATGGCGCGCAGGGTGTATGTCCCACAGGCGACAGGTCGACCAGAACCACCGTTATTTATTTATACACCTTAAGATGAATGTAAATAACACATAATTACTTATTATGCTAAATGAGGGAAAGTTTATTTATTCATTAAAAATACCCAAAACGAGGGTTTTCTACGACTTATTTTGTCTTTATTAACAGCGTAGGCGCCGCCGTACCACTAAGTATATCGAGGGCCCTTGAAACCGTGTTTTGTAACAGTGTGGATGGAACTCTGCCCGCCTAGTGCGCACGGAGTGTCAGACGCTTACCGACTTAACCACTTTATTTCTACTCCGCTAGCTAATCAAGCTTGCGACCTCGGTAGCGGCCATGCAAACCTCGCATCCTACTTTGACTGATACGTTTATAGAACAACATAACGACATGAAGTCCTGTAGAGAGTTGTTCCAAACTTCTTACAAATGAGCCGGCGCTGGCAGTGGGTCGCGACTCCGCGCTCCAGTTGAGGCGCACGTCGGCGCGTGCCGCAGGGAGCCACCGGCCACCGAGTCAGACACACCGTTACCCTGACCCGCATACCGCGCGGTACACCGGCCAGCAGTGGCCAGTGCGCCAACACTCAGAGCCACAGGTGATCCTGTACTAAGTACTCGGGGACTACCCGACCTGCATCACCATGCCAGGTCTTGTTTAGACAGAGGTTTATACTTTTTGTCTCGAAACATGTCTTTCGATTTATTTCGTTGGAACCAAAATAAGTAGTTCATGTTCCTTGCGTACCCGAGTTGGTTGTTGGAATTAGTAAACAATCTATTGTAAGTAATTGCTTCAAAATCTATTGTTTCTAAATATAAACTTGTCTGACAATTGCTGCAATTTATAAAACGTTACTTATTTGTGTGTTGTTATTATGTTATTATTCTGTCATCAATGTCTTCCGTAACGGTGTCAAGTTAAATTTATGAACAACCGAGTTACCGGAGTTTCTATTGTTGCTAATAATGCTTTGTTAGTTGTTAGCTAGATTGATTCGTGTAATTTGGGAAAAGAAGTAAGTTCCGCCTTCTTCACACACTCCTAAGTTATTATATTGTGGTATCGTCAAACAAAACTGTACCTGGCGGAATTTCAGAACCGATAAGACCATCAAACCTTCAAGAGGAGAGCGGCAATTGCATGCAATGCATCTGTGACTCCTCTAGTGTCGCGGATGTCCATAGATGGCGCTGATCGGTTACCATCAGGTGATCCGCCTGCTCGTTTACCTCCTATTCCATAACAAAACTACACTCGAACTCTTTAAACTCTACCTGTACTGTAGTGACTCATATCGGAAAATTGTATCAAATTCAAAGTTCCATTATTCATAAATGGCGGACTCCAAATCACTTAGTTACGCCATTGTAGATCAGTGCCGAAGTAAGTTTGCGTCGCGAATGTTCTCAGCCGAGGTAGTGTTTGGTACCTGTCGGCTACCAGCTACCTCTATATCATTACAAGTTGTTTGCAGACGTGAATTATTGCATGTAGTATGGAACCAGTCGGCGGCGCGCGGCGGCGACACGGGGCCTACATACTCACGTAACTGTAAAGATGGCGCTTGCGACACCTGGAGCCCGTAACTGTCACACGCACTTACCCGCGGTTACTGCGACCACATCATTATCATCCACATCCTATCACCTCTCGCTCCTTACACATAAGGCTCAATTTCGCGCTGACTTTTGGATATTTGTGTCATCTTTAGGCTACTAGTTGAGGAAACCTCAAATTATAATTGTCCCATCAGATTGGTGAATCTTGGTTCTTATTGACATCAGTACAAGGGTCGTTTTTGTTTAAACCAGGTGTTTCCTTTAGGTGCGTGTTATTAACGTTGGTTGGGCAACAAAGTGTGTTACATCAGTAGGTACCTACTGCTCAGTGATACAAGCACTGTCTGTTGAACTGAGCTTTGTAGGACTAAGGAAGGACACGGGAACTATTGAAACTCCACTCAGATTACACAAATCAATTAGGTAACTCGTTCCTATTCGATCAAAACGGAACTATGAAAATCATTTTGTGCAGCTATTTGCTCATTCCAAGAGATAGAACTATATGTCAAATTGTCGATTGACACTCCGTCGCTGCGTCGCTGACGGTGATAAACATGTCTACAAACAATACGTTAGTCTCTCGAGGTACATAGATAGGAACTCCTTATATTTGTCCGGCAGAACATTACAATGCCGCAGCAGTGCAAGAGTAGAGTAGTGCGCGACAGATCACTTTCATCAGTCGTCAGTTGGTGCGACTGTGTCGTAGTGTCGCGCGACAACTAATGCTTCCCTTTCATTTCATCACTCCGCGATATTATATTGCGACTCACATTTTTTACAGCGACGCGCCACGCGCCACGCGCCGATACTAAATTGCACTTTCATGCGATGGCCGCCCGCAGCCGGACATTTTTTACTTACTAAATAATGTTTTGACAAACTTCTATTTCACTGCGTTCTATGTCTACGTTTAATACTAGCTGAAGTATGCACCTTATCAAGTAGGTAAGTATAATTTCCTAAAATTCTTAATTACCTGTCTGAGCCACTGGGGATTAGAAAGGAAATCAGGACACTGAGTGTAATACTTGGGATTTGGGAAGCAATATTTACTAATGTTTTTAGAAAAACTAGAAGTTAATCAACTCTCCGAAGCCTCCACGCATTGCTCGAGTGGGAACAACACAACTTTACTAAGAAGGTCTAAACTTCACTCCAAGAGCATCAGTAAGTGATAAGATGGGATTCGTCTTTGAGTATATTTGTTTATTTATTTATAAAGCCTTTGCAAAATCTACTTTTGACAAGTTCATACTTTGATTTCCAAATAGGATCTTACACGATATTAGAGCCATCTAGAGAGCGCTAAAACATTCGTCCAGAGCCATATTATCTGTAAGGTAAACTAGGCAAGTGCTGAGGGCGCCAGGATACAGAGGATCGCCGCGGGCCGCGCGTACCCAACTAACTGCAGATAGTGTCTATGAAGTGCTTGCCGAGGCCGCTCTCTAGGTTTAATCTACCTCAGCGTTCGTCCCAACACTACACACAATCATGTTGCAGGCGCGATGTCTTCCACATTGTCGACAAAATATTGCGCACATGTTATACACAGTGCTGTACAGTAGAGTGCGAGGTGGCGGGTGCGCAGTGCGCATGCGTCGCGGTTGCCGTTACCGTGCGAGCAACCAGAGCGCGACCGAGCCGCGGGGCCGTGGCCCACACCACGCGCCCGTCTGTACAGACGTCACTCAATTGTAATCTATATACTCCTCTTTAATAGGTATATGAAGTTGAAGAGTTTGTTTGTTTGTTTGAACGTGCTTATCTCCAGAACTACTGATTCGAAATTATTAATGTAAAGGTCGTGTAAGTGAGGTTACCGGAGACCCAATTACCCTCCCCTTCCCTAATCTCCCTAATTCCTGAATGCACCTAATTCCTGAATCAAGTAACGCACTTGTAACGCCTTTGGTATTCCAGGTGTCCATGGGTACGCGCAGATTGCTTACCATCAGGTGATCCGTCTGCTCGTTTACCGGCTTAAGCCATAATTTTTTTTTTTTTTAAGATGTTTAGTCCATTTATCGAGGAAGGTTATAAAGGCTACGATTAACAGGAGCCGAGAAGCGGCTGAAATTACAGCAGGCGTAGCCAGCATGATCAATTGCTTCTTCTACGTAAGTAAGTAGGTACTTAAGTTATTATGAAGTCGCAAGACTACGTATTATGTATGTAAGTCAAAACTTTCCGCACGAATTATGTTTTACAATAAAGTTCATAATGCGTAGAAATAGTCACTTATATCTTCCTCAAGAAACACTTTATCCTTTGGTACAAATTGTATTGATTAATGATTTCAACGATTTTGAGTTACGAACACAGAGATAATCACAGGGCGCTCTAGTCATCTGTATACTTCTGTATAGTCTAACATCGTATAGTTATGCACTAATTAAGTATTGCATGTTTACATGTAATTAAGTAGGTACTTGTCTTGTGATAATCACGAAGGTTCCCACAGACTCTACGATTACTTATCTAACGGTACATTGAAATATGGTCTTACAGACTGTTTTATGTCATACATATTATGGGTGGCTGGAATAATTGGTTTTAGCTGTGTGCTTTGTAGCCGCGTCTCTAGTACTGCTGACTACTGCTTGCTGTTGTACTGTATTGAGTCCGGAGTCCAGAGCGATGCCGCGGTGGCGGTCAGCGACCGGCGCGCGGCGCCCGCGTTACTGGGTGAAGGTCAGACGCACCTCCGCTAACGGTCTCACACACACGCTAGCGTGACGTCACGCAAGTATGCAGGCCAACACTGGCCCGCTCCTTGCACTCACACTACTTCATGTGTCTAAAGTTTGGACTTTGTTATTAAAATGAAATTGATAATTATAGTTTCCGAGATAGATCAATGTTCCGAACAGAATACATATTGCCAAGACTACGAATACTATTTAACTCTCTCCTTATGACAATGGGTTTTATATTATGTAGGTAGTGTGAAGTGCAGCAGTAGAGGTAGTGACTGGCAGTGGTCACTGTTGTACCAGATATACAACACATTAACTTCTACTTTCTCTCGGTACGAAATAAAAGCGAAATTTGAATAAAAAATTGTGTTATTGAACTTTTTGCTGGTCATTTTTCAGTACAATGACGATGATGTTGATGTCAGTAAGTCAAAAAATCGGAGAATAGATCTGACGTTGTGGTCACCCCACAGCAGTTAACAATCACTTCATTTATAAAATAAATAGTTACAGATGGTAGGTACGTATTAGATGAATCTGTTCCAGTACCCACCGACTTCAAACTTTCAATGGAATCAAAGGAAAAGATGTTGCCATTCCAACAGAATCAATCAGTATGGTCGCAGGAATAATTGATATGCTAACAGCCATTGCAAGATGTTCATCAGTGTCCAAAATCACATGTCGCTGGATCACATGAATGGCTATCTTGAGTATCTTGCGGCAGTAGTTTCACGAGTGAGTTGCACAACGTGGTCGCGTGCTCACTCGGTAGGGCTCGCTGCTCTGATCGTTTTGTTGTTTTGTATCCATCACGCTCTATTTTGTTGTCATCTCAGAGAAAGTAATAACCGGCGTGGAAACTTTTTTGAGAGAAAACTACACCTTTCACAAACTAGGGAATTGGCTACACATCACTGACTACAGGTGGACATATGAGAAACTATGTCAAATGTGGATAAAATTACCTCAAACGTAAAGGAATGCGGCAGCGGCGGGCGCCGGCTTCGCGGGTCGAGTGACGAGCCATTGACCCGCGGAGTGTCGGCAACTGGGTGAAGGTCATGACTTCTCGGCAACGGGGCGCGTGACGTCATCACTGACCACAACACTGTTAGAAAGTGGACTTAATGGCCACGTATGACGAGTGACGAACTGACGACCCACTGATGCAACACCACTTAAAATACTAATGTCTTCTTACTCAAATATCGTCATACGAATACAATCAGATGCTGTAAAATAAAAAGAATTTTGGTTCCAGATGAAGTCCAGGTTGTAGTGTAAGTACATGAAATGGCTGTTGCTGGCTGATGCTGCTGTCAACACTGAGGTACAGATTGTCGCGGGGAATGACCTCTAGTTAGTGGCAACATTAGCACCATTAGTATTGACTCGTGACTCGGTAACTACGAGGACCATTTATCACATCCTCGGTCGAGTCGTATGCCAGGCGTCATTATGCGTACATGACAGATAGTTTCGCAAATTCACAATGCGTGCTGATTGCGAACGTGCCCTTAATTTGCTGTGTGTGCCACAAATTAATTACCTACAGAAAAAAAAATTAAGGCACAGGCACAGCTTTTACTCATTAATCTCAGTTTAGGCGTGACCTCAATTCTTAAAGACTATTTAGGAGTCGTCCATTTAAGTGACCAGAGAAAGCATAACGGGCCATGTCGTATCCTCTGAAGACGTCTGTGTGGGCAGCCCCGTGGTCATTATATTACTAATCGCCGTGTCTTGAGTTCACGACACAGAAAACACTCAAAGAACTGTTAACAAGTCGATCCACAAATATATGTGTTATCCTCATAAATGATTTGAAATTCTAATTTAATATATTTAATCGTTCGAACGGTATCACCACGTCCACCATTTCTGTGGAATGTAACAGAAACGAGGCGACCACATTATTTAGTAGCTTATTATATTAAGCTATAAAAAGTTTGCGTGCTGATACAATGTCAGCGTATAAAGTAGATCGAACTGTGAATGAAAATAAATGTTTCTTCCAAGTTTAGTGGGTTTTTAGAGCATCGCGAGCGTCGGTTCAAACACAAAACACAATGCATAGTGCCCGTGCAGCTCCGTGCTCCGTGCTAGGCGTGCAGCGTGCTACACGCCGCGACTCGTGAAATATTCCAGTGTAACGGGACCACATCGGACGCGTATCGATTATCGATATGGTATCGACTCGACACGCTCGCATTCTAACATTCTTCATAGTAGCACATGTTGTGGCTTGTCCAAATCTACCAATTTTGCGGTATTTACCGACCTTCTCTCTAGACCAAACCGCTATGTGTTTCTGGGCTCGCCAGCCTGCCATTCCGCCAGCTTACAGCCAGTCAGTGTGGTCGTGATTAATATGAAACCCTAACTCCGGCGACACATCTCATGAACTAGAGAATATGTATAGCTGACCACTTCATTACGGACAGTAATTTCTGTACCAAATATTCATGTCTAAATCTTCAAACCGACTTTGTATACAACCTGTTTCAAAAAGTGGAAGTGAGTAGAGAGACGCGTCGCGTCGGTCGGTACGCAGGCGCAGTGCAGCGGTCGCGGTCGCTGGGAGAAAGTTCTGTTTGTGTGATGGTAACGTCCTCGAAAACAAGCAGCTGATTTACATACGTTTATGTTGTTTACCGTTCGTAGGGCTCTACTGACCGAGACGAGCCGCAGCTTTACTGCTGGACGACTTAATGTAATGACCTCATATTGTTCTCATGAACAGCGATCTGGTCCATAATGTTTGAAACATGATTTAGCCGAGACATAACTATAATGTAATGGACAATCACGGTTATTGTCATCCAACAGCCGATATCAAAAGAAGGATGAGGTCCATTGAAATAATATCGATGACACTCAGAGCACGCCAATGTAGAACTAATTGATGAGGTACTACGCTAGGTATTAATTACGAGGAATTGGTGCATCCACGATGATGATGCTGCCAAACATTACTCGTGATTTAGCAGTGGATTCGTGAATTGAACACTGTTCCGTGGGTTGATGTTAAAAAACTAAACTGAAACGTTTTTGCTAAAAGCTAATCACTTGGTTTACCACTGGAATTCAAATTGGGTAAATCTTTTAGATTTTTGGCTAGTTAAACTTTTTCGAATGAAAGTCATCACTTCACTTCACTTTCAGGCTATCGCCTGATGCCCACAAGAAGTTATGTTACAAGAGAAACGGTACAGAGCACATAAATCTATTAAAGCAACAGGTATGCATATATGTTGGCAATAACATAAGCGTTTGTGTGAACACAAACATTTTATTCCTATTATTCCTGAGTCTAGCTGAAGGCGCAGTGAATAAACTAGTTAAGGAATTGGCTTATTCTCTGCGCATTGAACAGTGCAAACAGTACAGGATTATACTGATTGAAGGATTTCAGGTATAGACACAGCTTAATTACTAAGCTTTTTTACCCGAGCAGGGGTAATACATTTGTAATGTGTTTACTTAGTATAGAATTATTAAGAAGTATGCAACAACGTGCAGGCGGCATAGATAGGTACATCTCGCCAATGACGGTACAAGTACCTCCGTGTATGATCCGCGCTGAGACGTTTAAGATGATATTATTCGCGCTGTTCGTTTTGTAATCGCACAATTTCTCTCGAATACTATTCGACGGCCGCTGCGGACGCTGCGGACGCTTTCTACCGCCGCGGCACCGGCACACATCACCGTGCCTGCATTCAACGTCGCTGCTTTCAATGCCGTTTAATTTCTTTCGAAGAAATAATTAGTTATTGTAATCTCTCATTATATTTTATCGAACAACTTTCCCATAATAAATTAAAATGACTGCACATAAATTGTAAATGCTTGACGTTGCAAGTATATTTCATAAAAAAGTACGTGATAAAATATGTTTGTATGCTTAATTTTTAGGGCTAAAATATTTGAATTAAAAAATATCACTTACCAAAACTATGAGGGTATGTTGCGCCATAGTGCACGCAGCAACTGAAGCAATGGAACCACAACACAAGACGAGCACAGTTCACCTGAACATTTAGTAACGTACAATCGGAAAACTAAATTGAGGAAAAAGTTTTGAGTAAAATAAAAATATTCGACGAGAACTTTCGAGCGGCGCCTGCGTGCGGTCGCGGACAACTTTAGAGATAGTTTGTGAGCGGTGTGGCGCGGTGTGGTGCTGGGCCGGCTCCCCGGCTGTCCGTGTACACTGGCGCGGCGCTGCTAGCGGGACACACGAGGGAACGGGAAATTGAAACTGCTGCGAGAGTGGACACCATACAGAGCTGACACTGCGCGCAATTGTTTTATTATCACTACATAGGTAAAGTTACCATGTTGACCAGAGTCTCTTTTAAAATCTGAGGCTTGGCCAACGGTTGACATTATTAATTTATCAATAAAATCAGTCGTCAGGATTTAGGTAACGTAATTATGATGTAAACTAAAGTTACCGTTGTTTGTTAAACTCTGTGCAGCGTTTGACAGAGGTGGAGCAAGTGTTATCGCACATAACTACTAAAATATTACCATAATTGTGGAACTGATTTATATGGAAATACGTCTGTTGTGTAAAGTTAAATTAAACTTTGGTATCTTAGATGTAAGGTACACCTAACTAAGATCAATAAAGAACTGAGAGATTGGTATAAGGAATGCCCCAAGGAACAATTTTTGGTCCTACTCGTTTAACCGCATGAGTACCTTCACAATATTAAAATATCTGTTATAACTTTTGTATAACTGAATTTGTCACACCTGAAGCTGTATATATCCGAGTTGATAACAGCTCTGTGCAGTTTAAGTGGATATTTGCCGTCGAGGCTCTAATGAAGTCGATCACTCAATGAAAGGTTCTTGTAGGCCAAACAGTCGCCAGACGCCGTAACTTGTTGATAGCTGAGAAAAACTCGCTTTTCCGACAGAACATTTACTGGCTGATATTAAATTATAAATACAGTCTATGTTTAGACAGGTTCCACTTCTATAACTGCTCTCTCAGTACACACAACCTGGAAAACGAATTACATTTTTTCATTCATTGTAGGCCAAACGCCGGCCCCAATACCGCATGTTGGTAAGCGATGGTGTGACCAACGATTTACTTTTTTTTAATCTGGCTTAATTTTTATTATAGTTTTTTAAACCACTACATGGGATAAAACAAAGTCGCTATCCGCCGTCCGTCTGTCCCTATGTAACTATGTTTAGATCTTTAAAACTACGCAACGGATTTTGATGCAGTTTATTTTAATAGATAGAGAGATTCTTAAGGAATGTTTATATGTGTAACACATGCATATTGCACCCGTGCGGAGCCGGGCGGATCGCTAGTTAACTATATACCAGAATATACATTGACTTTGGTAAGTCACTACGGAGTATAGTAACGATTGCATGAATGATTGTCACTGGGAAACATTGTCAAGGTCAGGCGACCGCATCTTACGTCACGCGACTGTCATTTAGCAGGATGACTAGGAAGTATCTATATTTCTAATCTTCAGATATCGTACAGATATTCGTAATCATCATTATAATCATCAACAGCATATACGTGCCCATTGCTGAGCAAATTCCTCTTCTCACACAGAGAAGGTTAGAGCATTAAGCACTACGCTTGCTCAATTCGGCGATTTTTTATATTTTTTTTGTTCAAGTATTTTCAACCATTTTAGAGAGTATAGGTATATATATATATAGTTACATAGCTTGAAAAAGTTACATTGTACTTGCGGTTGGTAGGTTTCGAATCCACAACCTCATGCGTTAAAAGCGGGCGTCCTCGGGGCCTTCACGGATCTAAGAAGGTTAACACCATAAAACATATCGCTGATAAGACCAATTGTAGTCAAACAGGGAGTGATAATATGAGAATATATTTAAAAATATTGTTAAGAAATTGTTATTTGGTCGGTCCGATAATGAGGACAATATTGAATAATGTATCTATTGTCTAATTGCATTCTTAATTCTCTTTATTATTACAATTTATCTCTAATTTTGTTCTGGATTATAATTAATTATAAATAATTGTTAATAAATAAATACTAGTCGTTGCATGTCATGTTGTGTGCACATACTTGTGGAAGCATGGTCTGCCATTTACAGTTTTGTATTGTTACTCTGTTGTGTATTGTGCTGTGTTTCTGTTTTGTGTACCTAATAAATAAATAAATATATTTTTACTATATACCTGCGTATGAAGATACAATTGTCTTACATTCTCAGCTCGGGAATACCCGTCCACAATTTTCCTCAAGCGTACATTCATAGTTTCTACACGAACTAGGGAAAACTTAGTCAATCATCTGAAGCGACAATATAAGTTTATTGTTCGTATATTGATAAAAAAAGGCGCTTTACAAGCTATTTTATTTAAACGACTAGACAAAACAACCGAGTGTTCATCTTTCTTTAGTAGATATTTTACTCGAAAACATCGAACAACTCTATACTTACTTAAAAAAATTTATTTATTTCACCAACAACATCCATAACAATAAACGATAAATTTTATTACAATGTGTTTATTGTAAAGAGCACAAATTTATTATAGTTTTAGTGTAAATTATTTAGAAATTTCTACTACTTGCCGCTAGATGGCGGTACTAATCTTTTGTACTGCGCTACGAAACCCATAGTGCGCGAGTGAGACTCGTTCAGACATCTTTAAAACTACGCAGCATATTTACGCAACGATTTTTTATGTGGCTTTTATAATAGATAGATTAACTCGTCGAGTACCGGTTTTGTAGACACAATTATAGAACAATAGTTTGCGGTCACCGGTGACCGCAACCTATAATTGTGTCTACAAAACCGGTACTCGACGAGTTAATTCAACAGAAAGTTTTTGTAAAATTAACGAGTGACAAGCCGCGGGCGTAGTTTAATAAAACCATAGTTTTTAACATTTCTGTGAATAAAACGCTAAATTGAACAACATAAATTATTGTTTAACTTGTACCCGAGGACCAAATTATAGCAAGACGGACCGGATTCCTTCAATTGAATATAGGACAAAAATAAACAATATATTATGTGTTACACACAAGAGCAGGTCCTTTATTTAACACATGTCCACAAAACAAGGAAAACTGTAGACAATAATAATAATCGCAATAATTCCAAGTAAGGTGTATCGAGAAGTAAATAAATAGGCCGAGGCATGTGTCGCGGGCTGCAGTGGAGTGTCGGCGGCGTGAGGATGCTGGCGGCAGTAGTGTTGGTGTGTGGTGCGCTGGCCGTCGCCGCGAACCATCACCACCATGTTCATCATGACCTTGATCATTCGACAGGTGAATAGACACGTTCTTAGAAGTTTTTGGGTGTTTTTGATTTCATTGACCCTGATATTTTTTTTAATTCATGTTAAGTACTACCAGTACAAGTACTAGTACTGGTATAAACCTACCTAAGTTAAGGTTTGTTCTATGGTTCGATTGTGACTCAGTAAACAGTACACAAGTACAAATTAATATCAAAACATTCAAAGTAGAAGCTTAAGTTTCAATTAAAATCGAAGGGAGTTTCAATAATACACTGGGAAATTGAATTATAAAATTCCCAGTGTGACTTTGAAACTAGTATAGGTATTGTCGAATCTTAAGTCGTGTGTTTAAATTTAATGACGGTATTGTGTGGTTTCATACAGCAGCGTCTACACCAGCGGCTCCAGTAGTCCGCAGTGTGTCCGGTCAGTTCCGTGGCTCGTGGATGTCGTCACGACGTGGGAGACAGTTCGAGGCATACCGAGGCGTCCGATACGCTCAGCCACCCGTTGGGGAACTGCGCTTCCAGGTACGTAATGAACCTTTTAACTAAGAAAGTCGTTACAATACTCTTGATTGTATGTTTGTTTCCCTCGGCCCCTTTGCATGGCTTGTACTGATACTCTCTCTCTTGCTCCCATCAGCCCCCACAGTTGATGGAGAACTACACGAGTGAGGTAGACGCCTCGCAGGACGGGCCCGCCTGCCCGCAGCCCACCTTTAACAACTACCCAGTACACGAGGACTGTCTCCGCCTCAACGTGTACACTCCCGACCACCAATCGTGAGTAACTTTTTTAATACAACAGCACGAACAGTTAAAGATCGGTTTTGTTCAGAAGTAGTACGAAGTCTTCAATTAATAAACGAATTCTGAAAAAATAAATAAATAAATGATGACCAGTGTACGGCAAACGAGCACACATATTGTGTAAGATGGTGATGGTGAGCAATCGCACATAGACACCCGCAACACCAGAGAAGTTACAAGCGTGTTTTCATTAGGATAAATTACTTTTGGGACTCGTGGTGAATTTATGATGCTATATTTACCTCACGTGTTCCAGCAAGAAGCCCCTGCCAGTGGTGGTCTTCATGCACGCGGGCGGGTTCTACTCGGTGTCGGGGCGCAGTGACGTGGCCGGGCCCCAGCACCTGCTGGACCGGGACCTCGTGCTCGTCACCATCAACTACAGGCTCGGATCACTTGGTGAGTCACTGTGATGATGGAACACGATATGCGGGATCTGCAGCTGTTCAAGAAGAAATCATTTCATTTAGTGATGTGATTAACATATTGATATAGACACATTTATATACAGGACGGGGATAATCGAATCAATCAATTAATGACTAATTAAGCGAACAAGTCAAACAACAACCATAAAGTAATTAGTCTCTATCATAAAACAATGTAGACATTGTTCTGCATTGTCTTTCTCGTTGCACGTAATGGTTAATAGTCTGAAGTTGTGCTCGTCGTATGAAATTAATTGTACAATCTCTATTATACGTATTGGCGGGATCATAATATGTATTTTGATGGGTCATTGACGAGAATTGAGTGTTCATCATCATCATCAGTCTGTATTCGTCCACTGCTGGACATAGGCCTCTCTTATGGCACGCCACTGAGCTCGGTCTTCAGCTCTTCTCATCCAACCACTGCCAGCCACCTTGCGGATGTCGTCACTCCACCTAGCTGGAGGGCGCCCTACACTACGTTTGCCTAGACGCGGTCTCCACTCTAGAACACGTTTACCCCAACGGTTATCGGTTCTTCGACAAATGTGACCGGCCCACTGCCACTTCAGCTTACTGATCCTTTGGGCTATGTCTATAACTTTGGTTCTCTGTCGGATCACTTCGTTTCGGATTAGATCCTTCAAAGAGACTCCGAGAATTGAGTGTTACACATTGGAATATCATTACTTATAATAATATACTGAACGTGCTTACCATCAGACGAGC